ATTTCTTTGCAAAGATTTCTCTCTGGAGACATGAATCAAGTTGGGGGGGAGAATCAGAAGAAAAAAAGCCAAAATAACTAAGGTCAGGAGTGAAAAGAAAGCAAAACAAGTGAGGAGGCGATGATCAAACTGTAATTCAGGTAGAACAGAGACTGTGAAATGCCGTGCAAAATGAAGGAACAACTGGGATAGGGGAAAGGAAGGAAGGAAGAAAGAAAGAAAGAAAGAAAGAAGGAAGGAAGGAAGGAAGGAAGGAAGGAAGGAAGGAAGGAAGGAAGGAAGGGGGCAAGAGAAAAGGATGGCTTGGATCATTGCACTGATGATTCCTGCTGGTCCACTGAAAGGAGCTCAATTTTTTCGTTCTTACTTTTTTTTTCTTTTTGACAAAGTTTGCATGTTTATGTTTGGTAACCTGAAAAACTAATTAGAAGACAGCAATATGCAATATAATAACCATTGCTGAATTCCTATCATTTTGTTTAGTGAAATTTTGAACTGCTTCTAATTTTTTAAACTAATTTTTATTGTCTTTAAAGAATAAAAAAAAAGAAGCAGAAAATTGCAATATGTGGATGTTACAAGAACAGTTAGGTCACTGTACTTGAAAATTTAGACAAAAAGAAAAGCATTGTTGAAATGAAAAATATAGCTTTTCAAAACTTAATTGAGGGGCTGGGGAAATAGCTCAGTAGAATAAGCATTTGCCTGGCAAGCATAAGGTCCTGAGTTCAATCCCCAGTACCGCAAAAAAAAAAAAGAAAGAAAGAAAAGAAAAAGAAAAAGAAGGAAAGAAAGAAAGAAAAGAAAAATCAAAACTTAATTGAGAAATAGTTGAATATCTGTGACTATCAAGGAAATATTATCAGTAAATGAAAATAAATTTTATTATAAATAAAATTCCAGAGCCAGTGTCTGGTTAGATATTTTTAAACACACAAAGAACATATAATTTTAATCTCATGAAACTCTTCCAAAATATGAAAAGAAGAACATTCAATAAGTAATTTTATAAGGAAAGATGTAATATGATATCAAAACATGGCAAGGGCAATAAAAAGAGAAAATTGCAGGTCAATTGATGTTTCAAATATAGATAAGTAAGAATCCTAAAAAGTAATACACTTAGAAACAATAACTTACTTGTACCATAATATGCATGATTATTTAGTTACTACAGGACACAACATTGACAATCAATGATTCCATCTATGTTAATAGATAAATACATATTTGATACAGGGTCTTGCTACGCAGTTCAGACTCATAGTGACCCTCCTGTCTCAACCTCCCCAGTTCTGGGATTACTGCCTTGGGCAACCATAGCCTTGGGCAACCATGCCAGGTTTTGGGGTGGCACAAAGGGCCTGAGTTTCTGAGGTCAGCATGGCACGCAATACTGGGAATCAAGCTTAGGACCTTGTGCTTGCTAAGCAGATGCTTATGTTGCTAAGCTGTCTCCTTTGCCCTGTGTTAACAGATTGAGAAAGAAAAAAGCCCACCAAAAAAACTTCTAGAATTAATAAGCAAATTCAGTAGCATAGCTTGATTAAAAAGTCAATATTCAGAAATCAATAGCATTCTTATAAAAAACAACAAACTCTCCGAGAGAAACATTAGGAAAACAACACCCCTCACAATAGCATCCCCCCCAAAATGAAATACTTAGGAATCAATCTAACAAAGGAAGTACAAGATCTATACATTGAAAATTATAGTACTTTGAAAAAAGAGATTCAAGAGGTTGTCAGAAAATAGAAAGATGTCCCTTGCCCATGAATAGGAACCAACATTGTGAGAACGGACATACCCCCCAAACTGTCATATAAATTTAATGCAATCCCAATCAAAATATCTTTAGCATACCTCACAGACTTACAGAAAACGTTCCTAAAATTCATTTGGAAACAGAAGAGACCTAGAATAGTGAAGTCAACCTTGGGTAATGAGGACAAGGCAGGAGTATCAAAATTCCTGACTTGAAATTACACTACAAAGTTATTTTAATAAAGTGAGCACGGTCCTGAGAAAAGGGTCCAGGCCTGAGGATCACTGCAACAGCTTATGTGATGCAGGCAGAAGTACACGCACACTCAGCCGTCTTACCTTTGACAAAGGGGCCAAACATGTGCACTGGAAGAAAGACAGCCTGTTTAACAAATGATGCCGGAAAGGCTGGCTTTCCACATTCCAAACGAGACCCAAGTATATCACCACGTACTAAACTAAAGTCAAAATGGATCAAAGATCTAAATATTAAAGCAGAGACACTAAGTCTACTGAAAAAGAAAGTAGGTAGAAATCTTGAAGACATAGGGATAGGCAGTGAGTTCATGCACAAAACCCAGACTGCACAGGAAATACTTCAAAGAATC